TCCAGTTTTGCGTTGAGTGAGGATTTGGTGGTTGAGCCAGCGGTGCGTGAGTCACTAAAGTGTTTCAGGCACCGCCACAGCCGTGTAGTGCATGTGGCCAAGGGCAACAATCCACCCGATGAGGGGGAGCTCACCCAATTGAGGTGTGGACGATTTGCAAATCGCAATTATGAGCTTTTGGATGAGACTCCGGCGGTTTTGTTTCAGAAGTGCTCCTCATGCTGGGGCGGACTCTGATTGAATGCGCAGGGCAAAACTCCGAAGTGTGTTAGTGTGGGTTTTCCGACGTCATGTTGAACTGATGAATCATTTAATCAGAGTGACATGTTGATCACGACTGCTTGCAACGTGAGGGGGATCAGCAGGCTCGGATGGCATGTCATGTTTGATAGATCTACAGTCACGCATGTTGGCGACCAGGGCTTAACTTTTGAACATGTTCATGTCCAAGCGTAGGAGCCTTTCTTTTAATTTCCGAACACATGTCGGCCATCGATAGCGAAGCAGTTTTCCTTTCGAAGTGCACCCAGTTGGGGGTGCCAGAGCCTGCGAGGCAGGAGCTGAAACGGAAGGGCTGGGCAACTTTTGGGACCTTCGCGTTTTGCGTGCCGGGCGAGCCGGGCCGCATTTCTCAAGAGGTTTTCAAATCTGATGTTGCAGACCCGATGAGCATGTTGCGAAGTTGCGACGGCTGCACTTCGAAGCGTATGCTCTCACAGCGGCGGGGCTGAGGCCACAGAGTCGGATCAGCCAAGGAAGGTTCCTGCGGCGGAGTTGGCGGCTCGCTATGATGTGCTGCAAAGCCGCGTGAAGCCGTTGCGGTTGGTGGATCGGCTTGAGCCCTCGCATGCCCTGGTTAATCTTGCGGCACAGATGATCGAAGACCAGAGGGTCAAATATATCGAGTGGTCGCGTTGCACCAGCCGTGCACAGGAGATCAATTCGGTTAAGGAGGACCACTCGTTGAAGATGCTTCAGGGTGGACGCCAGGGCTCCGTTCGCTTGGTCGAGCCGGCGGCGAGGATCACAGCTGAGACCAGGTCTGATCTCCAGCTCATGCAGGCGCTCCGGCATCGGGGAGTGGCTTATGAGCTTGCTGCCTTGATGACTTTTGAAAAGCATGAGGAGCTGATCGATAAACTCTTCCTGGAGTATCAGCGTGAGCCTCTGGCAGGTTTCCATGCGGTATCAGTGGACCAGCTGCAGGCAGCGGATCGCGAGGTGCATGTCAGGATGGCCGAGCTCACGCGGTCAGGGCTTGTGCCCGGAGCGGATGGCGCACTGCCGTTGGATGGCCCAGTCACGAGCGTCTTGGCGAGCTCGCAGATCCAATGGATGCTGATGCCCCGGCCGAAAGGCTCTGGCTCGGGACATGGTGGGACGGGGGCCGAAGGAAATCCCGAGAAGCCGGGAAAGCCGCCGAAGAAGCCTCCTCCCAAGAAGACTGATCCGACGAAGGCGTCGGACAAGGATCAGCAGGCTGATCCTCCCGGGCACCCGCATGCGGGTGGCAAAGGCGGGAAGCAGAGGCGAACT